GGGGAGGGGGCCAGGCCAGGGCGCGGGGCGTGAGGGCTGATTTCTGGAGGGCAGAGCTGAGCCAGCAGGCGGCCGTGCTGGGGTCGAGGTGCTTGCTCAGCGAGTTCCCCGTAGGGTCCCGAGCCCAGCCTGGAAGGATTCCTGCGTGCAGGGCCAGGAGTCAGCCCTGAAACCCGCTGGATGTGACCCCCAGACCATAGTGACAAGAGTCTGACCTGTTGCTCGGGCTCTAAGTCCCGCTGGTCACTCGCCCCCACCCCTCACTGCAACTCCTCTGCAAAGCGAATCCTTGTTCGGATCTCCAGGGAGGAAAAAGGAGGTTCAGAGCGGAGCTGGGCTTCCCGGCTCCCAGCCCCAGGCCACGACTGCAAGAGCGAGAGCTCAAGGGGACTCGTTCTCCTGCTTCTTTCCAGCAACGCTCCTGCTCCTGCTCGGTCTCCAACTCTCAGCTTGGCTGTCACCTCGCTCCGGAAGCCTCCCCGGGTTGCCTGGCTCCCCGTCACCACCCTCCAGCAGAGGCAGAGCCCCGCCAGGCCTGCAGTGGGGGAGCCAGCTCGGGGCTTCTTGGGCGACACCCCCGCCCCCACGGGTTCCCCAAAGCGAGGACCCCTCCTGGAGTGGGAGTGAGGTTGGCGGGGCATGAAGCTCGCAGCTGGGCGCAGGGAGCCGCCGATGATCCCACCGGGCCCGCGGCAGCCGCACGACACCCACGTCCCCACAGGCGCTGCCTGGGCGCCCTCGCAGACGCGCTTCCCACGAGCAGGCGGCGGCCGGCTGGCGGCTGGCGGCTGGCGGCTGCGGGGCTCACACTTGGAAATGCGGGAGCTGGGCTGCGGATTCAGGGTCTCCCGCCCCCTCCCCCTGCCACCTGCGACCCCCTGGGGAGATGGGCCGCCCCCCTCCGCCTCCATCCAGTGCCGTTCCGAGGGGGGGCAGGGACGGGGTCCCCGCCGCCTTTTGGGGCCTCGGGAGGGGTCTCCGCTGCAGCACACGGGTGTTCCCACTAGGCCTGGGGGGACACCCCCGCCCCAGAGCGCCCCGCCGCAGGGAAGCCGCCAGGCGGAGGCAGGTCGGCGGCTCCGGGCCGGTGCAGCAAAGACCCTCCCCGAGCACGCGCGCTCCCCTCCCCCCGCACCCCGAGGGTCCCCTTCTGGCACGGCGTCCAGCGGCGACCCCCGGGTGCGCTCGCACGCTCGCGTGCAAAACGCAGCCAGAAGGCGGCCTTTGACTGCGGGTCGCGAGCCTCGAGCCCGTAGGGTGCAGACCACACTGGGGGGCTGGGGTCCAGGGAGCCTGCGCCGCACGCGCGCCCTGCTGTCCACCAGGCTGCACCGGAAAGCCCAGGCGGTGCCGGCTCGGGCTGCGGGCTGAGCGCGCCCCCTGCCGGGCGCGGGGAGAATCGGCGGCGGGTCCCGGGACGGGCCCGAACCCAGGTCACCTGAGCCAGAGGACCGCTGGGAAGTGCAGCGCTTAGGCCCGAGCTCAGCCCAGCCCCGGCGAGCGGGCGGGTCCCAGAGAGAGCCCCCACCCAGCAGAACCCCCTTCCAACCTGCACCCCAACTCGGGAAAACAGCTAGATCCTGAGTCCAAGCTCCTGAGTCCAAGCCCTGGCAGCGGCTGAGCACCGCGGATGGAAGCTGTGACTCTGGGCTCGAGCGATAGCAGCGCGGCGAGGGCGCTGGCCTGACGTGCGTCCCACCCAGGTTCGATCGCCGGCCTCCCTGAGCACCGCCAGGAGTGATTCTTCAGTGCAGGGCCAGGAGGAACCCCTGAACATCGCTGGAAGAGCCCCTGAGTGTGGCGGGGTGTGACCCAAAAAAGGGGGAAAAAAAGATTGCTTCTGGCTTGAATGAAAACACACTATGATTCTGGCTTGAACCCCAACACTGGCTGAATCCTGGCAATGGCTGATCCCCGGCTTGGGGGTGATGACGGTTTCTGGGGTTCCTCCTCTTTTGGTTTTATTGTCACACCAGGTGGTGCTCAGGGCTTCTTCCAGCCTCTGCTCTCGGGGATCACTCCTGGTGGGGTTCATGAGATGCTCGAACCCGGGTCGGATGCATGTAAGGCCAGCGCCCTCCCTGCTGTGCCAGAAAGATCAGGGGCGGGAAAGAAAGTACAGTGGTTGGGCACTCACCTGATCGTCAGCATCCCATATGGTCCCCTGAGCCCAACCAGGAATGACCCCTGAGCACTGCTAGGTGTGGTACAAGAACAAAAAAACAAAACAACAAACCAAACCTGAGTCCACATCATGCAGTGCAAGTAGCCCCTACCTGATCTGTCTGTCCCCAGTGAAGGTCTAATGACGGTGAAATGCCAATTGATGGGCACTAATCGAAGCTCAGTAACCATTAGTCCTGGTATTACTCTATTACCTTATGTACTGCTGGGCACTTTTTTTGATTGGTTGGCTGGTTTCTTTTGATTTTGTTTTTTTGTCCACACCTGGCGATGTTCAGGGGTTACTCCTGGCGGTGCTCGGGGGATCCTACGAGATGCTGGGGCTAGAACCTGGGTCAGCCATGAGCAAGACCAGAGCCCTCCCTGATGTGCTATCCTCTAGCCCTGGTACTTCTTTCTTTCTTTCTTTCTTTCTTTCGGATTTTTGCGTCACACCCGGCGATGCACAGGGCTTACTCTTGCCTCTCCACTCAGGAATTACTCCTGACAGTGCTTGGGGGACTATATGGGATGCTGGGAATCGAACCTGGGTTGGCCGCATGCAAGGCAAAAGCCCTACCTGCTGGCTATCGCTCCAGCCCCCCTAGTACTTTTTATTTATTTATTTGCTTTTTTGGGTCACACCCAGCGATGCTCAGAGGTTATTCCTGGCTCTGCACTCAGGAATTCCTCCTGGCAGTGCTTGGGGGACCACATGGGATGCCAGGGATCGAACCCAGGTCGGCCGTGTGCAAGGCAAATGCCCTACCCGCCGTGCTATTGCCCCAGCCCCCCTAGTACTTTTTAGAATCAGTTTTTTGCCTTGTACACATCCAACCTGAGTTCAATCCCTGGCACCCCATAGGGACCCCCAAGTCCTAACCAGGAGTGATCCCAGACCACAGAGCCAAGAATAAGCTCTGAGCACAGCCGGGTGTGGCCCCCAAATACGACAAAATAAAATTTAGGGGCTCGAGAGATCAAACAGTGCATGGGGCGCTCTCCTTGAATGCTGCTGACCCAGGTTCCATCTTGGGCAGTAAATATGGTCTTCTGAACCTGTCAGTCGTGATCCTGAGCGCAGAGCCGGAAGCTCTGAGACCACTGGGTGTGCCCCGCCAACCCAGACAAGCATTCCATATGGGAGCTGTACCCCCAGTTCATATTTGCCTTTCAAAGCTTACAACTCAGGGCTGAAGCAATAGCACAGCAGGGAAGGTGTTTGCCCTGCACACGGCCCACCCACCCGGGTTTGATCCCAGCATCCCATATGGTCCCCTGAGCATGGCCAGGAGTGTTTCCCTAGTGCAGAACCAGGAGTAACCCAAAAAGCCCCCCCTTCAAAGAAAGTTTACAACTCAGTGTTCTGGGTAAATCCTAACACTTGTTTATTATTATTATTATTATTATTATTAGGCTTTGGGGGCCGCACCAAGCAGCCCAGGGGTGGGGGAGGGTGGTCATTCCTGGGGGTGCTGGGAGTCATGTGATTCCAGGGATCAGATGCATGCCAGCCATGTGTATGTTCATTTATATATATATATACATATATATATATATTTTCTGGGGGAGGTCACACCTGGCAATGCACAGGGGTTACTCCTGGCTCTGCATCAGGAATTACCCCTGCCGGTGCTCAGGGAACCATATGGGTTGCTGGGAATCGAACCCAGGTTGGCCGTGTGCAAGGCAAACGCCCTACCCACTGTGGTATTGCTCCAGCTCCCCTCATTGATTTATTTTTGAGGATGCTTTGGGGGGGTGAGGGGTGGGGGGAGGGTGTTTAAGATTGAACCCTCTGTCAGGCCAGCGCTCTCCCCACTGTATTATCTTCCCAGCCCTGGAGTTATTTGTAACGCAGGAGGCCAGGCTGCGTGTCCCCCTGGCTGCAGGAAGGGTCTACTCTGGCCTGCTCCAGCCCAGAGGCGCGGTGGGGGTTGCAGGGAGGAAACAGCAGCGGGGAGACGGGAGCAGCTCCTGGGCCCAGTTCCCAGGACTCACAGCTGCATCCTAGGAGGGGGTGGGGGAACCCAGCTGGCCACCCCACCCTCCGGCGGCCAGGAGGCTTCTAGGGGTTCTGCTGTCTCAGTCCCGCGGAAATGGAGGCTAGCCGAGCTGGACACGGGCGGGACCTGCGCCTCCAACCTCACCTCAATAATTTGTCTACAGGGGGCTGGAGGAGAGGCGGGCGAGTGATTGCCGTGCACGGCATGCCATAGGGACCCCCGACCCCACCTAAGCCCTGCCAGGGCGAGCACCGTAGGGGGTGACCTAAAAATAAAACCAGTAATCATTCTGGAGGGACACGCCAGGATGTGCCCCCTTTCTAAGAGTTTCTGGAGGCCGCACATTAAGCAATTGTATTCTGCCCACGTTCCTAGTAGGTAAACTGAGCCCCAGAGGGAGGTAGGGGCTTGCTCTGAGCCACTCGGTGGATCTGGTTTTGTTGTTGTTTCCATTTTGGCTCCGGGTCGCTTCCTCTTCCTCCACCTCCACGGCGTCTCCTTCCTCTCCTTTCTTTGGCCTACCCGCACCCCGAGCCCAGCAGCGCCCCCCGCATCCGCCCCCGCCGCCGCCGCCGCCGCCGCTCGGCGGGTTCCGGAGGAATTCCCCGGCCGCTCTTGGCCGCGCCCCCTCCGTGGCGGGGGCGGGCTCCCATTGGTTCCTTCGTACATCGCCCGCCCTGTCATTGGCTAATATGGGTCTCCGCCCCGCCCCCAGGTCCCGGCCCCTCTCCGGGTCCTTTCTGCAGGGGCGTGTTCTAGCGGGGGCGTGGTCTGATGAGGGGGCGTGGCCGCGGCGAGGGGCGGGGCCGAGTGCGGGTCCCCAGCCCGCTCGGGTTCCGGTCCCGAGCGCGGCCACTTCAACGCATTGGTCACTTGGACGGGCTCCTCGGAGGCGGTGGCACCGAGTCCCGACGGCCGGACCCGGCAGAGCAGGTGAGCGAGCGATGCCGGGCTGACCCCCTCCGCCACCCGGCCTCGGCGCCCCTGGGGAGGGGCCGCGGGGGGTCCCCCATCCTGTCCTTCCCAGCCCCGCTTTCTTCAGCAACGCCCCCCCCCCCCCCCGGTCTCTGTTCCTATTCCTGCCACAGTTTCCCTGTCCCTCGCCTCTTGAGGCACCGTGTGGGTTGGGTGGCGCAGACGGGGGAGGGGTAGGATGAATCCCACCCAGGCCTGTCCACCCCCACCTCACCCCTTGGGCACTCGCGTGGCCTCTGTCCTCTCTCTCGGCCCGCCCGCGCAGCGCGCAGGATGCCAGGTGCTGGGGCCAGGCCGCAGAGCCACGAGAACATTCCAGGTGGTGGGCAGCCTGGAGTGGGAGAGAGGGGCCAGGGGTCCGGCACTGGTGCCCGGCTGCCCAGTCCATCCTGACCCGCCCACCCGCCAGCTACCCCGGGGCCCTCTTGGCGCGGTAATTGGCAGGTCTAAAACCCGGATCCACCTGTATCACCACCTCCTCCGCCCTGGGGCCACGGGGCGGGGGGGGGGGTGTCCCCCTCCGCCAAGCCGCCCCAGCTATAAACACTGCAGAGGGCTACTTCCTGGTGACCCCGGAGTCCGGGCCAGGGGCAGGGGCGGGTGACCGTCCAGCGGCTCCCCCAGCCTCGAAGCAGCATGAAGGCAGCGGAGCCCGGAGCTGGGAGCGCTGAGGTGTGAGTGAGACCAAGCTGAGCCCCCGCCCCACCCCAGGCGGCCCCCTCCTCTCTCTCATCTTCACCCAGTTCTTGGCTGAACTGGGGAGGGACAGAATTGGGGGTGCGGGTGCTCAGGGCGGCTTCCAGGATTCAGTGCAGGATTGCCTTTATGAATGCAGGAATAAATGCAGGCATGCCTCTCATTCCACCACCTCCCACTCTCTCCTCTGCCCAAGGGCGCACCCCTCCCATTCCACCCCCATGCCTCAGGACCTTTGCACCAGCCAGTGCCCTCTGCCATTGTGCCAGGTCCCAGGCGGGGGCCAACTTTAAAGCAAAACAAGTTGCCAGACTGGGTTGGGATACCTGGAAGGGATGGAGGAGGAGGGACCTGGTCTCTCTGGGAACAAGACCTTCACTGGGCCCCAGCAAGCTCTGGATAGTGGGTGCCCGCATCCCTGGTGTGTGTGTGTGTGTGTGTGTGTGTGTGTGTGTGTGTGTGTGTGTGTTGTGTGGTGCCTGCAGGGTAGGCATGAGGCTTCTTTAATTTATTTGGGGTTTGGGGCCACATCCCATGATGCTCAGGAGTTACTCCTGGTTCTGTGCTCAGGGATCACTTCTGGCAGGGCTCAGGGGAGACCCTATGGGCTGCCGGGGATCCAACCCAGGTCGGCTTTGTGCAAGGCAGCTGATTCCGAGGGCTGGAGGCTGGAGGAAGGACGCGCCCAGATGAAACCTAGGTTGGGTGGCACTCGTGTGATTCTGCTGGGGGATTCGGCCAGGCCCCAACCCCTCTGCCTCAGTTTCCCCCTCATAACCATGGTCCTGCTGACCCAGCTGCAGAAGTTGGGACCCCGAGGTAAAGTGCCTTGTTGGAGCAGTGGTCCCTGCAAGCAGGTGGGCATTTGAGGCCCCTCTCCCTGGACAGGCCCAGTATGGCTCACCATATCTTGTATGAGGAAGGTGGGGGTACTGCTGTCTCTCACAGCCCTCAGTTTCCCTGGCTGGACAGTGGGGCCCTGGGTGCGGGTGGGGTCACCAATGGAAGGCCTTTTGGAGCCAGGTCATTGATTCATTCAACAAACATCTGCTATGAATTTAACCTGTGCACACATCCCCCTCCCGCCCCCCACACACGCGCAGGTTGGGATTGAGGGGGCCGGTTGTCTTTTCAGAAATGTCCTGAGGCTTCCTTGTGGCTTCCCCACGCCTGGTGGGGCGTTTGGGAGAGCCCACCCACCGGGTCCAGGCCTTCTCAACAAGAAACAGCCTTGAGAAACCAGGGGACACGAGTGTCAGGAGGGCCTGGTACATGCAAAGGTCCTGGGGCAGGACGGGCACGGCGTGTGGGAAGGACAGCAAGCAGAGGGGGCAGAGGGAAGAGGGGGGACCGAGAGGACGGGAAAGCTGGCCCAGGACCCGTCGGGGTGGACTTAGGGCCAGCTGTGGGTGGTGGGGAGGCGGGGTGGGCTGGTTTAGCTCCGGGGCGCCCTCTGATGGACAGACTGGGGTAAGGTGGAGGTGGGGACCCGGGGAAGGGGTTCCCGGCCCCCCGCGGGCAGTGAGGAGAAGGGGAGCCCGCACTCCTTTGGGGGGCTCCACTCCCCCCGCTGCCGTGCCGAGAGCCGGGCGCCGTGGCAGCCCCATTCATTATTGACGCCCTTTCTGTGCGCCATAAAGAATTCATGGGGTGGGGGTGGGCGGCGGGGAACCGCGGGGCCAGTGGCGCGGAGCGCGCCCCAGGCCCTGGCCGGCTCTTCTGGAATCCTGCCGGCCACTTGTGCCGCGCAGCCTTTTCCTTGCTTGGCTTTTGGCGCTGCTGGGGACGGAGCCTGGACCCTCCCCGCACACACACAGGGGCGGTCGCGAGCCAGGCAGCCTCCACCAATGTTCCTGCGAACAACGGACTCCGGGGACAGCGGGGGAGGCGCGGGCCTTGAGCGCAGCCCACCCGGCTCGATCCCCGGCACCCCAGAGTGCGCCCCAAGCCAGGAGTGAGCCCTGAGCAGAGAGCCGGGAGCAGCCCCTGAGCATCCCTGGGTGTGGCCCCCAAAGCCAAAAGCAAGCAAAAACAACAGCCTGCAAGCCAGGGAGAGAATTCTGTGGACTGAGTGCATGCCGCGGCCGGCGTTTAGGAGTGACCCCTGAGCACCAGGTGTGGTCACCAAACAAAGCAATAATAACAACAGACTCAGAACCTGCAGGATAATTATACAGCTAATCTGCCACGTGAAGGAGAGCACCACGGCCTGAGCCGTAGTACAGGGGGAAGGCGCTTGGTTGGCATGGGACAGCCTAGTTTGAGCCGGCACCCCAGAGGGTCCCCCCAGTCACCACCAAGAATGATCCCTCTGTGTTCATGCCCAATTCAATCAGCTTAATCGATGGCTGAATAAATAGCAGTACTCCGACATTATTAAAAAAAAAAAAGATCTTTCAGCATTGCAGGCAGCGACCCTCCAAAAGACACACGGGGCTGGAGCGACAGTCCAGTGGGGAGGGCGTTTGCCTTGCATGTGGCTGACTTGGGTTCGATCCCTGGCATCCCATAGGGTCCACCAAACAACACCAGGAGTGATTCCTGAGTGCAGAGCCAGGAGTAACCACTGAGCATCGCTGGGTGTGACACCCCCCAAAAAAAAATAAAGATGCACACTCTCAAAATAAAACCAAAGAAGACACTGAATTGTATTATTTAAAGGGTGCGTTTGAGGGGCCTGATTGATAGGGCAGCGGGGAGGGCACGTGCCTTCATTCCTGGAATCCCATTGGGTTCCCAGAGCACTGCCAGGAGAGAACCCTGAGTACGGAACCAGGAGTAAGCCCTGAACACCACCAGGAGTGGGCTGCATTTTATGGTAAATTAAGGACTTTATATATAAAAAAAAAAACCCCTAAAGCCAATAAATACTAAGAGAGTCCAGAGCATTTGCCTTACATGCCGCTGACCCAGGTAACATCCCCAGCATCCCATGTGATCCCCTGAGCACTGCCAGGAGTATTACCTGAGCATCACTAGGTATGGTCCAAGAACCAAAAAAAAAATTTGATGAAAAAAAAATTAAAAATAAAGTTTAGAGCAACTGGAGCTGGAGCACAGCGGGTAGGGCATTTGCTTTGCACGCGGCCGACCCGGGTTCGATTCCCTGCATCCCATATGGTACTCTAAGCACCGTCAGGAGTAATTCCTGAGTGCATGAGCCAGGAGTAACCCCTGCGCATCGCCGGGTGTGACCCAAAAAACCCAGAAAAAAAAAGTTTAGAGCAATAGTACAGTGGGGAGAGCATACCCATAGGGTCCCTCAAGCACCACCAGGAGTAGTTTCTGGGTGCAGAACAGGAGTAACCCCTGAGTATCGCCGGGTGTGACCCCAAAAGCCAATTAATAGTAATAATAATAATAAATACATACTCAGAGAAGGATAACTTCCTGGGGCCAGAGGGATGGTGCAGGGGTTAAGGCGCCCATCTTGCATGTAGCCAACCTCGGTTTAACACCCAGTACCACATGCTCCCCTGAGCACTGTTAGGAGTGACCCCCCAGTCCTTCCCCCCACAAAAGAAACGTAATCTTAGCCCCTCCTTGCTACCTAGCCTACCCCCCCCCCCCCCCCCCGGTAATTCCTTTGTTGTCTGCTTGGTGGAAACGGTTAGTGCTCTTCCCAGCACCTCCCGCCCAGACCTCAGGCTGGAGCCCAGGAAACCAGCCGTCACCACGCAGACACTTGCCTCCTTGTGCTGTTGATCATCTCAGGCCCCACTTTTTCTATAAAGGGGCAGGTGGGCTTTGAAAAACTATTTTTTTTTTCCTGGTCACATCTGTTCTGTCCTTCAGAGAGCAGCTGCAGAGTTCAGGAAGCCCTGGGTGTGGCCCCTGTGTCAATAAAACTTTATTGACAAAAACAGGAAGTGAGGGCCAGGGCTGAGTCCTCTCAACTACAAAATTAGAAGAGGAAAGAAGAGGAAATCTGAGTCATGACAATTCATCTGAACACGGGGCCTTGTCTGGAGTTATTTGCTAGTGAGGTTTGAAACCATTCCTGCTAGGGGGACGTTATCTTAGTGGGCAGATACGTGGCTTGTGGAGCCGATGAATGAACTTCAGGGGCTCCAGCTTCTTTCTCTCCATCTGGGTGAATGGGGCCACACCAGCAGTGCTCAGGGCTGACTCCTGCATCCGGGCATCACTCAGGGCTGGCCTTAGGGGACCCTGTGGGGTGATGGGGATCAAATCAGCAGGTGTCAGATGCTGTCCAGCCTAATGCCCTCCCTGCGGTGTCTGGTGTCACTAATGTCCCCCAC